TCGTGTAATATATTGCATTCAGAGCTGCGATGGCTACCGTTCGCCTTCGAATGAGGTGAACCGGGTTCGAATCCAGGGCGGGTCATTACGAATCCGGCTTGCACCGACCACAGTGCTGCTCCTCAGTGGTAGACGGATCACGGGTTAGAGTTTCCTAGCCGTGAGGCTAACCGTGTGAGATTTTCGTGTTTTTCCTCTTCGTGTGACGCAAATGCGGGTAAAAAGTCCTCCATGAAAGCAAAATTTCTCCCAATACTGGATCCAGGAGTTCCTTTGTCTTCTGGATTGTGTTTAGAATTACAAGGCGGCAGAGTTAAGCAATAGTTGCCGTAAACCCATAAAATTGGGTCGGCTGTTAATAGACGATTATAAAATATAAAAATATTGCGTACAGTACATGCTTTTTTCCAGAGTCCAAATCAGAGATATTAGCAGGCCGGTTTTGGGTCGCTGGCCATGAAACATGATTATCCTGATATAGGTTAAACCTAATACAAAGATTTCCTAATTGAAAACATTTTAAAATATGAGAAATAACGCATCGAAATTTCCTTATGAATGTTATTTTGTATTTCATTTATGAATATTTTAGAAGATACAAATATTCATTGAAAATAAATTTCATCTGACTGAATATCTACTTTTAATCTACTCATAGTATAATACTTATATAAGAACTACTCATATAATAACTCATAAAGAGTGTTTTCTAATTTTTATCAATCTCAATATCTCTTAATTTCTATGTATAGCACGTTTTACCTTGGAGAGATTTCTCTTGCTTAATTCTTTTTCTTTCATGAAATACATGAAATAAAAAAATTTTTAGCAGTAGATAAATGCATTATGTGTCATTTCAAAAACTTCTGAATTATTTTAAACATTACATTTTATAGAAAAACGCAAGTCAAAATCCATCCAAGGTTCAAAACTTTTGCTTATTAACCATAGCATTATTCTAAATATTGTAAATAAAGCCATAAGGAGCCGAAATATTTTTACGCATACTAACTATTAAAAATGTTAAGTACTTATGGGCGTTCGTAATTAGCCGTTTTTACTACGGGGGTTGAAAAAGATTATAATTACAATTTCATTTTGACTGTTTATTGAAAATTTCAATCAGAACCAGCTCCTAATTTGCTTATAACGATAAATAAATGAATTTCACTAATAACCTCAAAAGCAAAACAGTGATTCACAAAATCAAGGAAAGAGCAAATTGGTGAAGCAGTTTATCACCAAATAACCGAATCTGTGAAACAATTTTAAATAAATAAGCAGGCCAACATGGCACTGACTAATATAGTTGACTTTATCGTATTTCATAAATGAACGAATGAGCGTGTCCACGATACAAAACATCAATAAAGTAATGAATCAGAAAAGCGTATGGAAGAATTAGTGAATCAGTGAATGCATCAGAAGAATTAGTGATTGCATCAGTCAACAATTCTCTGTTTCATTGATTTGCTGACGAGTTTATTCGTCGATTAATTTGTTCGCTGAAAAATTGTTTAACAGATTCATTGATTCATTACTATTTCAATTCCTCGTCTTTATAATTCTGAACTGTTTACTCGATTCGATGATTTTTCATTCGTATATTAAATGATATTTTTCCTGATTAATCCTATGATTGAATTTTTTTCCGAGCATTCATTTTTTTCTCCCATTTCAATGAAATTGCTGATCTTCTGTTTTATTCATTATTAACCCACAGTTTTGTTCAGTAAGTGATTGATATTTGAAGAAATTATTGCTCATTAATTGATTATTAAAATTACTGCTTCTGCCAGCAACAAATTGGTAGAAGAGAGAGCAGCCATTTGAGATTTAAAACTATTGTAACAATTAAAAACAAGCGAAAATCTTCATACTGATTCAACCTACTAGTGGCAATTATATTATTGTAATTATAATGCATATAATAAAATTTCTTTTATTACTCTTTTTAGGAAATAGTAAATTCAAATTTGTTTTTTATATTTCTCACACATCAGTGAAAGTGCTTTGACCTTTTTTTATTGGGGAGTTGCAGGTAACGAACAATAGTTTTTTTTCTTTTAAACTATTTAATTAACTTTTCCACAAATTTGGAGTTTTAAATTAAATCTTTCATGATGCAAAGCAGAAGTTAGCGTCTCTCTGTCCTATTTCCAAAGAATAAAGTAATAAAATAATAATACGTTTTTGCGATACAACTTTTAAATAACATTTTCATTATTAACTTGAGAACTAAATTTCCAGATTACAAAAAAACTCTAATTTTCAAAAGATTTTTATTTTCTTTTGAATTAGACTGGAGTTTTATCAAAGTTCAAAAAAAATCGAATAAATTAAAGAGAAACTTGACTTTTAATTCAATGCAATTTTTTATTTTTTAGTTTATTAAACTACGAAAAAAAAGACCCAACTGTTGTTTATATAAATTTAAATTATTATTTCATATACATTAAGTAACAAATGATGCTTTTATGATGAAAGAACTTTTTATTTCAAAAAATTTCACTTTTTTTATAAAGATTTTAATTAAAATATAAATTTAAATAAATTTCACTTGTAAAAATATCGATAAATAAATGTAAAATAAGCATCTATACAGGAATTATAAGTTTTAAATCAGTTTGAAAGGAAAGTGAGAAATAAATATTACGGTGAGACTGGTTAGGATTGAACCCCTGACTCCAAAAGTGAAATTTTAATTAACTTCCTTTTTTTGTCTGACGGAAAGAAATGAAATCTGAATGTTATTTCTAGATCTATTGGTTTATATCGATGAGAATTCAGCTCAAACATTATGATTTATTTTCAAGTGAAAAAATTAAGCAGCGCAAAACTCTGATGGCCATCTTAAGAATGAGAAAAACTCAGCTTCCTCTTACTTTAGAAATAATTGCTCATCGCTTTACGAAAATATTTTGACTTTTTTTTCCTACTATGTCCCTGGCTATTCGATTCATTGACTTACTACTTCAGTAGTACTGGTTCACGGATTTTAATTACGCATTGATAGTTCATTCATCGATTCATTTGTTGACTTATTCATCTTCGGTTTTTCATTTTATTCTGCATCTTGAAATTTATTTTAGGCTTAATTTTGTTCATTCATAGTTATATTATACTGAAATATTTTTAATTTTTGTCTGTTTAAAAATTTTAGGTAATAAAGAAAAGTTAAATTCGTGCATCCATTCTTCAATTTATAAGTATTTTAAGAATCGAAAACGGGTTTCAATATTTGTAGGCCTATTGAAATTAGGATTCAGAGGAAAGATTTGATGATTAAAAGATTTGATTTGATTATGTAACGGAAGATCTTACAAGAATGAAAACTGCCGATAAGGGAATATCAAAAACACTAAAGTTAGGGGCAACATTCTTCAGCAAAGCAAAACTGTAGTGTCAAAAAAAAAAAAAAATTAAATTATTGGCGATTAACTGTTGACTTGTGGAAATTCTTTAGGCGATTTGCGCATTATAGAATTTTTTCCAGAAAATTTTATTCCGTTAAAAGGTTTAGAAGAAATCAATTAATATATTTTTTTCAAATTATAAAATTATTAAAATGCTCCGTTCTATCAATTTTGGAATTTTTTTTAACAAAGATAAAGAGGTTAAATAAGTATATTCAAATATTTTACTATTGAATACATATTTTATATTTATAATTTCTTAGCATTGAAATTGTTATAACTTTTTTCTTCAAACGCGTGTTTCAATTGTGTCCTCAGCAGAAGTTTCAATGGACAATTACAGTCAATTCTTTTTATGATTTTAATGCATTCAGAAAACTTGAAAACCACCAGAAAACATTTTAATACTTTTCTAAGAGCGTTAATTATTAAGTTATCTTTAAGCAAAAAACGCTTACTTTCGTTTTCATCTGAAACGGGGAGTCACGTGATTATTCACGAACTGAAGTCAGTTGTGTCCATCTGCCGTTCTTTTTCACTTGCTGTGCTGTGAAAGCCATAACGTTTTTGCCTTCTTTTGAATTTTGGTAATTAAATCCAACAATTTTTGATGGTAAATAACTATGTGAGAACAAAGATAATTATAATAAATTGTACCCTAATGTAGCTTAATAAAAATGAAGCTTAAAATAACGCATTTTTATAATATTTTCTAATAATAATATAAAATTAGTAATTTATATGGTACTCATTGAAATATTATTAATAGCTGATGGTTCTGAATATTAAAGATTTTCAGTGCAGTAAGAAAGCGGTTAGAAGGAGTTATGGGTGTCTAGTATTACTAATTAAAATTATGCGTCATAAATACACAAAGAAACAATTTATTATTATTTTTTTTTTTACCTATATATTTATCTTAATTTTAATGTGTATTTCAAATTCATTGCGGAGATTTATTTTCATGTTGAGTAAAAGAAATGTTGAATCAATTTTTTGTATAGAATTATTTTGGACTTTAAAATGTAGTACAGCTTAAGTTATTGATGTTTTTTTTATTTATTTATTCCAGCGTAAAGCAGGTAATTGTCCTCACCATAGCAGTAGTTTTTTAAAAAAGCTTGTGATCCCAGCAAAACTTTCAATTAATTCCTTCAAAAAAATCAATGCTAAAGTAACAAAAAATCTTAATATATTCCAGTAAATTTTATTAACTTCATTGAAATTGCGTTAATCTGTGTTATAAGAGTATGTGAAATCAAGCATATGCATTTATCTTGTTCCTCATTGCAGAAACGGGAATTAAATTTTATAAATGCATACAAAATAACTTTTCGCCATAACAAAGTTCTTATTTACTCAAAGAATTAAAATATTGAGAAAAATATCAACATTACTGTCGATTTTTTTAATTATTTAATAAATAATAAAGAATTTGAATTCGATTTTCTTTTCATTTTGCATAAGTTAATGTTTTATTATTATTCTTTAGCTTTAGTGAAGCAGGAACGTCTAGCTAAATGATATTTGTTGAAATTATGTGTGCAAATTAAATAACATTAAGTGAAATTTTAAGTATCTTCTTCAGGAGCGCAACAGCCCTTTGCAGGCCTTAGCTGCCTCAACAGCACGCCTTCTCCAGCTCCCTCTGTCCATGGCAACTCCCCTCCAGTTCTTAAGTTTTAGGACTTTGAGGTCGTTTTCGGTGTCGTTGAGCCATCGAGTAGGTGGTCTACCTCTAGAGCGGGACCCCTGAGGGTTCTTGAAGGTGGCAATTTTTACAGGGCTATCTTCAGAGCCTCTCCATATATGTCCGAGCCATCTTAGTCGGTTGCTTCGGATTATCTGCATAATTTGAGGATGTTTATAGAGCCCATAAAGTTCAAAGTTGTACCGTGTTCGCCAACATCCCCCCTCTGGTATGGCACCAAAGATAGTTCTAAGTATCTTTCTTTCAAACGTTTCTATCGGGCGTTGTACGTCAAGGTTTAAAGTCCAGGTTTCGTTTCCGTATAGCAAGACAGGCAGAATGAGTGTCTTATATAATTTTAGTTTTGTTTTTTGGCTAATAAAATTCGATCTTAGTTGACTTTTTAGTCCAAAAAAACATCTGTTGGCCATATTGATTCTATTGTCAATTTCAGGTTTCAGTTTGTTTTGGTCATTGATAATTGTACCAAGATACTTAAATTCTTTAACCTTTTCAAAGGAATGTCCGTTTATCTGCAAAGGTTCACTATAGTTTACAGTTGAGCTTGAAAACTCCATGAATTTGGTCTTGTCTTCGTTAATGGAAAGGCCCATATTTATAGCAGAGGCCTCAAGGGCTTGAAAGGCATCTTTAACAGCCCGTTCTGATCTTCCAATGATATCAATGTCGTCCGCATAAGCGAGGATTTGGAGAGATCTGTTCCAAATAGATCCTCCTCGGTTTAATCCGCTATCCCGAATGCATTTCTCCAATGCCAGGTTAAAAAGCAGACAAGCAAGAGAGTCTCCCTGGCGCAGGCCTCTTTCGGTAATGAAAGGTTCAGATAGATGGCTTTGGATTTTAATCCTGCATCTCACATTGTTGATAGTGGCACGGGTGAGACTTACGAGTTTTGTAGGGATTCCGAACTCGTTCATCGCTTCAAGTAATTTATCTCTTTTAATACTGTCGTAGGCAGCTTTGAAGTCTATAAATAGGTGAAAAGTCCTGATGTTGAACTCTTTAGTTTTTTCAAGGATCTGTCTTAGAGTATGAATTTGGTCAATGGTAGACCTTTGAGGCCTGAATCCACATTGGTAATTTCCGACCGCTTTATCAGCAAAAGGCTGGAGCCTTTTGAAAAGAATATTGGAGAAGATTTTATATGCCGTATTGAGGAGTGTTATACCTCTGTAGTTACGACATTCAAGTTGGTCTCCTTTTTTAAAAATAGGGCAGATGGAACCTTCTTCCCATTCAATGGGTATATTCTCAGTGTCCCAGATTTCAATTAGGAGTTTATGGATAGCATCAATAAACTGGGGTTCGCCGGTTTTAAGAAGCTCAGATGGGATACAATCGGGACCAGCCGATCTGTTGTTTCTGAGTTTTTTAATAGCCATTATCACTTCATCGATTGAAGGTGGGGGGTTATCTACATCCCTCAGTATGACTAGATCTACTGGGTTGTTGCGAGGGACAGAAATATCATCCTTGCCAACTAGCAAGTCTTGGAAGTAACTCTTCCAAACTTTGGTTACCTCTTGAGGCTCACTTACGAGTTCACCTTCGTTGTTTCTGCAGGTAATAGTTCTTGGTTTAAATTCACTTCGCATATAATTGACTTTTTTGTAAAACTTCCTACATTCATTTTGGTTATTCATGGCTTCCAGATCTTCCAGTGATTTCTCAAAGAAGGCTTTCTTTTTTGCTTTATGTAGTTTCTTTTCTATTCTTCTCAGGTTCTTATATTGTTCTTCAAAGAAACGTGTGCGATGTTTCTGTATCATTAGTCTATATGCCTTATTTTTTTCCTCAGTTGCCTTATGGCAGTCTTCATCGAACCATTCGTTTTTGGAAGGACGCCCCAGTTCTGGAATAGTATCACTTGCAGATTTCAAGACAATGTCTTTTATTGTATTCCAGTTAAAAACAATGTTCGGTCTTCCTTTTTCTTCAGAAAGTCGGTTGGATAGCTTGATGTTATACTCTTTAAGAATTTCGTCTTTTTTCAGTTTAGAAATGTCAAGTTTAAAGTCCTTGTTTTCCTTCTTTTGATAAAAACTTTTACAAAGTCGAAGTCTCACTTTGGACACGACGAGTACATGCATATCTACATTTGCACCCCTGCAGCTTCTCACATCAAGTACATTGCTGCGGTGTCTCTTGTCCACAAGTAGATGGTCAATTTGATTATGTGTAGATCCATCTGGGGATCGCCAGGTGTGCTTGTGGACTTCTTTATGGGGGAATGCTGTGCTGGAAATAAACAAATTCTCTGAGACTGCAAGATCAAAGAGTCTCTGTCCATTTTCACTGGTGTAGTAGTGCAGGCTTTCAGCACCCGCGTGGTATCTAAGGTGTTGCTCCTTTCCAATTTTAGCGTTGAAGTCTCCGATAACGATCTTCATGTCTTGTGCTGGGCACGAGTTAATGCTTCTCATCAACAGGTCATAGAAGATATCTTTTTCAGAAGCATCTTTTTCCTCAGTTGGTGCATGAGCACATATTAAGGTGGTATTGTAATGTTTTCCGTTTATCCTGATTTTACAGAGTCTCATGCTAATAGCCTGGAAGTCGATGACAGTATTTCTCAGTCTTTTGCTCACGACAAAACCTACACCGAATTGGTGAATTTTGTCCTGGCAACTGTAGTATACTCTGCAATCCTTTTTATCCATAATTCCATTGCCCAACCATCTGATTACTTGGATTGCGAGGATGTCAAGTCTGTAGTCAACAAATACATCTATTAGGCACTTTAATGCTCCAGCTTTATACAAGGTGCGAATGTTCCATGTTCCAAATCTCAAGTCCTTTTCCTTTCCGAGTCGTCTTGGTGGATGTGAGCCGGGTTTTGCATTTTGTTGAGGTTTCTTAACTTGAGTATAATAAGTAGATTATGGCGATGATGATGGACAGATATATTTCTATGAACTAGATTCTTGAAAATGTTGATTAGTTTTTGGCGATACCAAGTGCTTAACCTGAGACTTTTTCAACTATTTTAATTAAATTATTTTACTTATATATGCATAATGTATTAATTTTACTATTTTAGAATTCTTTATTGGAAGCACTGACAACCAGTTTGCAAAAATAAGAAGAGAAATTTATAATATACTTTGTAAATACTATATTGAAGAAACAGGAATTAGAGTTTATAAATTTAAAAATAAAACTAATTTCTAACTGTAGCAAAATTCCTGTTTACTTAAAAAATAATAAATATAAGCGTTAATGTGTTTTTAAATATTTAATATAAAGTGAACTGCATTAGTAAATATTTACATAAAAATAAGATCCTTCAACTCTAGTAAAAAAAATAAAAGAAGCAAAATTTAATTATATTATTTGAATTATGAAACATTAACACATGGAGATTGTAACATGATGAATTCATATTTTTCTTATGAAAACACTGATTTGTTCTAATGGCGAACAGGCTCCCCAAACCGTAAATTTAATTCGCGAAATTTTTACTAATAATTTACAAAGGATGTACAGTTCACAAAAAAAAGATATCACCCTGAATAACTTTCGTTTTAATGATCGGATTTTCACGAACTAAGTGTCAATCTTAATAGTTCCTGAGGGAGACGTCAAATATGCTAATTTATTAGTGCTAACTATTAATGAAGCTACGAAATCAGACACAAAAACGTACTTTTTCAGAATAAACACATATTTTTTTAATATATTTGAATTCTTTATCTTCAAAATATAAGGGGTAGCCCGCAATCTGGGAAATGTAGTCCTCATAGTTTGGTCACGAGAGCGATTTAAAGTTTGGATCCCTTAATGTTAATTTCGCTTTTTGCGTTTTCAGTCATATTTTAAAAACAAATGAAGAAATTCAAAAAAAATTGCACCCACTCATAAAACTCATTTACCCAAAGATAATTTTATGAAAAAAATAAATTTTTAGAATTATTTATAATTTTTTATTATTTAACTAAAGTGAGGATGAAAAAATGTTGAATTATAAGGTATGGATTTTTTTATACCATATTAATCTACTTTTTTTTCAATCGAAAAATCTATAGTTTCAATTGTTTTTATTTATTAGAAGATGAGAAAAATTGAAATTAATTATTTAAAAAAAATAATTTGGTGACAATGAAGAAATAATTAGATGGGGCGATTAATATTAAAATGCGATAAACTTACGAGGAACTTGACTTGACGCCCGTAGCTTAAAATTTCATTCATATTTTTTTCGCTAATAATCGTTTGCTAATCTTTTAATTTTTAATTTTTTGAAATTATAAAATACGGTGTTTCTTTTTTAGTCGTCTAAAAATCTATTTGAAATTTAGTAAAGAAATTTGAATAAAACATTTTATTGTATAAAAAACATTTTATTCAATGAATGTCGAGTTTTATAAAGGCATGCTTCTGATAGAATATGATTATACACCAGATTGTGCTTATTTAATGTGATTATTTTTAATTTTTTTTGTTTTTTTTCTCAATAACTGATACAATTTGAATAATATATATACGTATGAAAAGATTAGGAATAAAGTATATTTATCAATTTCTTGAATATATTTTTTATAAATATTAATAAAAATGCGTAGTCAATATTTTCAAGCACCTCTCACATCATCGCAAATTTCTCAACATCTAATATATCATCTTAATCTTAAAAGCAATTTTTTAATCACCTGTTCGGAAGTGTTTCGCAGAACTATTTTACCAACTATTTAATTAAATTTTATCATTTTTAAAAATCTTATTCTTTACCCTACTACGTTTATTATTTCTTCATTAATATACTAATAAATTTTTTTAGTACTTTAATTTAGGTTTTCTTTAAAGTAAATTTCCTTTTTAAATCATAGTCAAGTTTTTTTAAAAGAATTATTGTCTGCTAGCTAAGAATAAAACCTTGCCAAGAAATTAAAAACGCTCCGCTGTTAAAAATTATTTAATGCAAAACAGCAGATTATTTACTAAGCATACTATTTTTTTCGAAAAAAGAGTGTAAATTATTGATTGTATTTTTTTTGTTTTGTTTCGTGTGACTTCAACATAGATTATCTAAAATAGTTTTGATGTTTTATAAGTCACTACAAAGAGTATAAAGATACAGAACATAAAAAGCTGTCGAATACGTAGCCAAATTTTTAAGTGTTTTAAAATATCTCAGTATCTTAAATGTCGTCCTAACATCTTAGTTGTGAAATTAAATTTTTAATTATCTGACCACGTGTGATTCACTAATTATTTCATTATATCTGTTACTCTTTCTTTATTATTCCATGTAGATTTTTTTCCGGGTAATATACTAAACTATTTTTTTATTTTTTATTTTTTACTTTAGCACGATTCCCAAGATATTATTGTAGTATAATTTGTTATCAGGAAAAATGCCTTATTTTGTTAAGCAGGAAATACTAAAGATTGAAATTTGTACGAAGATTCCGAAGCCATGCCAATTTTAGAATCTTCTGATTTTTTAAAAAAAAATGCAATAAAAAATACTCAATTTCAGAACTTATTTTGATTAAAAATAAAAATAAAAATTTAAAAAAACGAGGCAAAAAGGTTAACGTACGTTCTACAGAAACTGTGAAAACCAATTTTTCCTATATTTCGTCAAAAGAGGATAAGAATGATATTGCCCGGTATACCCTACACTGATGTTTTTTAAGGTTCAGTGCTACTGCCCGGTATACATTTGCCCGGTATACCCGGTTTGCCCGATACTCCAAACACTGATGTTTCTTCTGATCTAACGTCAGTAAGTATTAAAATATCGAATAAAAGTAATTATATCCACGAATAAATTAATATAAAATCGGATGCAATAAATATTTCGGACATTCACCAAAGCGACTATGTGATTGTCAACATTCACCGGTGAAAGTCAACAACCACCGATTTCGGTCATTCACAGTAACATGCACATCACTTACATAATGACCTCATCAGTATGTTTTTTTCATACTTTGCCAAAATAGCATTTGTCAATGTATAGAATGCCTAGGTATTTTATACAATGCCTAGGAAAAGTATGTAATACCTCTCACATTTCATACTTTGCCTAAAAACATCCGGAATTGTATAGAATGCCTAGGCATTCTATACAATGACGGCGTTTCATACTTTGCCGGTAACATATATAAGAAAACAAAAATAATCATAGTAGCAGTATTTGGTGGTAAATGCAGCTTATCGTAATTGAAGAATATGCTGTGCGACATTTTATGGTGAATTTGCGAACGTAAGTTTCCGAATGTATCGAACCGTGAGGATGCTATTTGCTAATCATCTTTATCCAAAGAAAACCTTGTAACCTAAATATCTAGCAGAATGAAGCGATTTTTTAAACAAGGAATCATACAATATGCAACATATTATTTCAATATCTTATTCTTAAACATAACATATTTCAATGTTTTTAAAATACCACTAAACATTCAGCAATTCCTTATAGAAAAAAGAAATATCGTAAATTATAGAAAACCTTGTGAATGTGCATTAGAACTACTATACAATCTACAATTTATTTTTCAAGCACTTTTTTTTCTTCAAACTTTCTTGCCTAGAACACTCGATTAAAGTTGTAAAAATGATTATCCCTAAAATTTTGTATATAGAAATAATAAGTTATGTTAATTTGATTTTAGTATGAAATTCTCGAATATGTATAGCAAAAACAACATAATATAAATAATATCAGATATAAAGTTCATGTATTTAAATTCTAAAAACTTTGACAATCATAAATAATTCATAAATCGATTCAAATTTTCTTTTCAAAGGAGATTAAAATAAAAAAAAATTTGCTTTTTGGACAGAAATCAGCTTAAAAATTGTCTATTGCCTAGAAATTTTGAGATATATTCTATTAAATATTAATTAAACTTCTCCGAGCAATCACAGAGCATTATTTAAATTTTTTACAATCAAAACTTGGTTGCTTAGCAGCCAAGTAAAATTAAGCATTCTTCTTTTGAATTAGTCAATGGGTTATCTTAAAATATTCATTTGCGCTGGCGACTTTCATTGGCGGTTTTCTGGACTATCGCCAAATATATAAACCTTTATTGCGACCCAATTTATGACCCAATTTTTTTTTAATTTTGTCTCCCCCCCCCCTAATTTAAGTGTCTGGATTCCAAATATGTAAAAAAAAATATATGTTTATTCAGAGAAAGTACGCTTTTGTGTCTGATTTCGTAACTTAATAGTTAGTACTAATTAATTAATAGTTAGTACTAATTAATTAGATTATTTGAGGTCACCCCCCGGAACCATTAAGATTGACACTTAGTTTGTGAAAATCCGATCATTAGAACGAAAGTTATGGAGGGGGATATCTTTTTTTTTTTTTGCGGACTGTACTACTTGTAAAATAGTTATTGGTGCAGTTTAAAACTGCAATGAATTTTTCGTATTTTCAGAAAATATTTTTCCAGTTTTATAAAAGATTGTGAATTAATAGTTAGATAAATTATATTTAAAAGAACTTTTTTCCACCAATACTTGCAAATATTTTAAATGGTTAATTAAAGGTTGTATAGAGAAATGGTCATATCAGTTTTCTAATGGTATCTTGAATTTACGCATTAGTTTGCTTCAGCATTTGAGTTTTGTATTTCGTACAAAACTCAAATGTTGAAGGGTTATGCAAAAGCACCAAATATGCAAATCTATCGTTATATTTCTC